CTCCCTTTCAAATTCATCTCGTATTCCATTATCTCCCTCTGTGAGTGTACTCTCCATGTTGTGCAAAGAGTAACAAGACAGGCCGTCACCGCAGTTCAATACCTGCTGAGTGCGAATTCCTAAATGAAATTATATTGTGCGTGCTTACAAAACGTGCACTATTTACGTGGTTTTCTGACTCCATCACATTACTACTTCACAATGAGCGCTGCCGTAAACGGAAACAGAGAACAAGATCCACTTCCGCGAATATGACACTTGCTGTCGTTTGCTTCTACACAAGAAGAGGTCAAGAACCTCTGAATAGTTAAGCAGTAAAGAATATACAGGAATTGAGAGAAATGTAAAGAAAATAAGTTAAAAAAAAACATAACTATATTACAATGTCACATTTTCTGTGATCAAGTTTCCATTTTTACTCAAAAATTCAAAGATTTGATGGTTCCATTCCACCAATTCTCATTACTGCGCGTATCGACTGAATCTTCACACTCGTGCGTCTATTCAGTTACGACACCGCTACCGCCAGTCGATGGGGAAGAAGTTCATATTCAGTGCGCCGCGTCGAACATTAAAATGTGTGTGCTCTAGAACTCCTGTTAGGATATGCTCCCCGCAACAGTGGTTATGTCCCGTACGCCCCGCGATCTCGTATTCCAATATAATTTCAGCTGCGCTGCTTCTGATACCAGTGTCGGTTGTCCGTTCAGTTCACTCTTGAGGTAATGCAAAAGAACACTTTACGTTCAAACAAAACGAAAATGCATTTTTTTATAAAATTCTGAGCTTATGAATCGGCAAAACTGTTTGCCTGCTCCCGCGTTCGCTGACATCTTGTTCTGTATTCTTTAAACTACCGAATTACATAAATTACATGTAATACCTTCCCAATGTTTCAGCCAATCTTTACATCACTTGAAGAGCACTACAACTGGCGGTATTTAAACACTAAATATCCGACTTAACGTCATTGCTTACATCCTGTTCTCGAAATATACCAAGCCCTCCAAAATAACTTACCTCCACCAGCAACCACTACATTATTCAATTGTTCCATTCCCTACGAGTTCATGAGTTCCGTAACCAAGTTACTAGTTTCGTGTCGTAGCAACCTGATTTTCCATATAACATCTGATTTTCCTCTGCAGACCACTAATGTTATTTTTTTGTACCAGCATTACTTAACGACTTTGTTCTCATTGCAAGAAATCGTCTCAGTAATTTGGCATTTTACTGCCGCAAAAATTATGACAAACTTCATCATTTACGGCATGAATGATTGCACATCCATATTCAGCCAATCCAAAGCAGGACAATCGTGGGACGTAGAGAGTAATCGAAACAGCCGACTACCGTTTTCTCACACATTTCAATAACCAGAGGACATCACAAGAAAGTGTTTTGCAAAATTAAGTTTGATGCTCTTATAAATTTATTAATGCTGTATATACAAAAAAAGCTATGGTAACTTTTTATAATGCTGCTTTATTGCATTCGTACAAATTTGAAAACTCGCTCCTAACATCGCTTCGTTTTCAAAAACATGTACACATGCAAAAAGCTAGCTTACAAGCAAATTGCATAAACTATTATATATCGAAATTAATGTGTACTATGAATTTATATGACCCGTTCTTAATCATATGTACACGGTTCTATTAAGAATGTGTATATTATATATATTATATTAGTATATTAATATTATTGTAGAAAACTTAAAAAATTAGCCATTTAAAGAACAGTAAATATCACACCACAATTCTAATTCTGATACAAATGACTCAATGCGATTTCCATCATGAATAAACATGGAATAATGATGTCCGGTAAAAAAGTGTCGTGTGTATCAAACCAGTATCCGCCATTAGCAACGGCCCAGTGAATGGCATTATTTTTTTCTATTTTCCTCTTAGTGCAACGTTAGCAATTCTGGAGAAAAAATTAAATCAAAGGCTAGATTCTAAAATTGTACAATTATATTTCTCGACGATTCGTTTGTTGAAATGCACTCAAGTGATCAAACAGTGTCAAAAATTTTATTTATAAACTATATATTATTTAAATTTAACTCTGTAACTTATCTTTTCCACAGTGTCTCTTTGAGACCTGCAAAATCGTAGTTTACTGCCAGGGCGCGAAACAGTGATTCACCACGAGCGGTTTGTTACATTAAATTTTAAAATATTAATTATTAAATTTAATTAAATCCAAGCGAAATATAAGAAGATACTTGCAAAGAACACGTAGACACGATATAAGATCTAAACTAATAATTAATCACGGAATAGTTGTAAAAATTACAGCTAGACAAATGTTTCCAGGTATTCCAAATTTCAGCAATCATTAAAGCAAGAATAGACGCAATATCAGGCTCATCTCTGGTCAACAGTTAACGATAATCACGGGAGGGAAAAAAACGAAATACCCCCTCTATAACCTAATGATTCAAAAGCCTATTCAGCATGAAGAAAAAAACTGAAATGTTTAGCTGACACCACTAGAGAATATCTTCCCGACCTCATCCAAATAACAATGCAACTCACATAAAAACATCGAGGATTTTGTAAATGAGCACCCAGCGTTTCAGTAACAACGAAATTAAGTTTATCTCTCATTCTACAGCTCTCAAAAAGTTTTCAGCCGTTTAAAACAAGAAAAAATCCCAGTGGATTGATAAATAAATAACAAAATGATACGGAACTAAACAAAGAACACTATGCCGCTCTCACGCATATTTAAATTTGCAATCTTACGCCGTAATCACTTCCCAAACTATGAAAAACGCCATCATCCTGACCTTTTCCAAACCGGGAAAAGATCCTAGAATTGGAGAGAGAACTATAGACCAATAGCTTGTCCCACATTATCAAAAATTTTGAATTATACTCAGTAGACTAAATAAATACTCACTAAATAAAATCAATTCCGATGAACGAATTCTGCTTTGAGACCTAAACCATTCATGTACGCCCAATTACTGAACAAACGTAAAACTATTGCAGAAAGCTTCTCATCAAAACAAAAACATAATGTAGCAGTTTCTTAGACATTGCTCAGGCGCTATGAAACAGATCTGGCAACAGGCATTATGTATAAATTACGTAATTTGAGGAGTCTGATTTACATCCAAAAATATCAATAGCTTTCTGACTAACAGAAATTTCATTGTAAAATCAATAAACATTATCAACCCTCGAAACAATCTGCAGGTTCTAACTCCAAGGCCTCTAGTTGTACTCTCTCCGACCTTATCAATGCTTAACACTTCAGATATTTCCACGAATAGCAGTACACCAAATTAGCTCTTTTCCTTGATGTACGCACACATTATTCACTGTCATGAAGATATTTTCATAGCTCAAATATCGATGACAGCAAATTAATCTGGAAGAACTAATATCGTTGGACAAAATCGTGGAGAAATAAAAATTAATCCAGAAAATTGCCAAGCAAAATATTCCACAACTTCGGGACAGGAACCCCCCCCCTACCTTCAAAAATCAATTGCAGCCCGAATTCAATGAATATAGCTCAATTAATATATCTTGCGTGTCATTGATAAAAATTAACATGGAAAACCGCCAATATCCTTGCAATTAGCTATAATAAAGCTACTGGGAAAATTTCAAAAACTATATCACAATAATAAAGAGAAATCTCCATTTAATCGAAATGCCAGCTCGATGATATTTAACATCAATCATTTACCACCAAGTCCTAACATACGCTTGCCCTGGTCTGGGGGAAAATGCGACACCCCTCATCAATAGAGAGAACTTCAGACGGGACTAAAACAAAAGCCTTAGAAAAACATACAATCCACCCTGGTTATACCCAATTCCCAGTACATGGGAGCTACGTATGGATCTAATCAAAACACATCTCTACAATTCGAAATGCTTTTATACTTCACTCTACATTTTCACTTAAATACTTTAACCTAGACGAAATCTGTGACAACCCTGCCGCATCAAATCCAATTCCCAAAAGATAAAATCTTTGCCCCCCGTAAAGCACATTGATATAACACAATTCAACATAACCCCTAACATTAAAGCAGTAAATTTTAAATAAACAACTAAATCATCCAATCCCAATCCAACACCTAAATAACATCGTGTCTTAACAGTATGCAAGCTCAAAAGCCAGGATGCCTATTCCTCAACAATGAAAAATCTCATTGTATCCAAGCCCTTGAAAGGCCACATGTTCCGAACAAGAAGAAAATAAGTGGAAAATAAAAAGAAATATAATAACACTAAAAGAGATTTCAATTCAGTTCAACATTAAAAGTTTCATTACGAATACGGATATAATATGTCTTAACAATAATTTTAGTCTCAATAAACTTATTTTTCAAGGCTCCAATTATCTAAGAAAATAAACAATTTTTTTAAATACATTGAATTTAAACATCCATTATTGTACTTTTCTTTATCTTTAATTAAAATAATTTTTTTTACATTTCTATAGAATGCAAGATAAATATTTGATTTAAACTATCTCAAAGTTCAATCGGAATTTATACTTACATATGCATTAGTTTATATTATAAATGATTACACAGCTATTTAATTGTATTTTTTCCAAGTTGACAACGACTGACAGATTTGCGCAGACTGGGACTAGTTTTTCAGTGTTTTCGAAGACACCAGGTGGGGTGAGTATCTCATGAAATACATTCAAGGAATCCGTCCATAAATTTATCATAACGCAAAATTTGGTAGTATTTTGTAATACCCCCCCATCTCAAACTCTATGACCGCACTTGTCTATACATCGCGCACTTGAACCCCCACTTACCCTAATAGATAACGTAAGACGCTCGCTGCGACGCCCCCCCCTCACGCCAATTCAAAGCGTTACGTAATTATTAGGAAGTGGGGTTCAAGTGCGCATTACAGGTGCGTAACAGAGTTTGAGAGGGGGTATTCAAAATACTCCAAATTTGCGTTATGTAATTTATGGACGGCTCCTAATGTATTTCATGAGATACTCACCCCCACCTGGTGTCTTCGAAAACACTCGAAAACTAGTCCACCAGTCTCGCATCTGTCAGTCGTTGTCACTGAAAAATAAATTTAAATATGTGTAATCATTTAAATAAACTAATGCATTGTAAGTATAAATTCGCATTGAACTTTGAGGATAGTTAAATCAATATTTATCTTGCAATGAAATGTAAAAAAATATTATTAATTACAAGATAAAGAAACAACGTACAATAAATGGATGTTTAAATTCAATGTATGTAAAAAATGTGTTATTTTCTTAGATAAATTGGAAGGCCCTTGAAAATTAAGTTTATTTGAGATAAAATTATTGTTAAACAAATTATATCGTATTCGTAATGAAACTTTTAATTCTGAACTGAATTGAATCTCTTAGTGGTTATTCATATTTCTTTTTTTTTCCACTTATTTTCTTCTTGTTCGGCCATGTGGCCTTTCAAGGGCTTGGATACAATAGATTTTTCATTGTTGAGGAATAGGCATCCTGGCTTTTGAGCTTGCATACTGTTAAGACACGATGTTATTTAGGTGTTGGATTGGGATTGGATGATTTAGTTGTTTATTTAAAATTTACTGCTTTAATGTTAGGGGTTATGTTGAATTGTGTTATATCAATGTGCTTTACGGGGGGCAAAGATTTTATCTTTTGGGAATTGGATTTGATGCGGCAGGGTTGTCACAGATTTCGTCTAGGTTAAAGTATTTAAGTGAAAATGTAGAGTGAAGTATAAAAGCATTTCGAATTGTAGAGATGTGTTTTGATTAGATCCATACGTAGCTCCCATGTACTGGGAATTGGGTATAACCAGGGTGGATTGTATGTTTTTCTAAGGCTTTTGTTTTAGTCCCGTCTGAAGTTCTCTCTATTGATGAGGGGTGTCGCATTTTCCCCCAGACCAGGGCAAGCGTATGTTAGGACTTGGTGGTAAATGATTGATGTTAAATATCATCGAGCTGGCATTTCGATTAAATGGAGATTTCTCTTTATTATTGTGATATAGTTTTTGAAATTTTCCCAGTAGCTTTATTATAGCTAATTGCAAGGATATTGGCGGTTTTCCATGTTAATTTTTATCAATGACACGCAAGATATATTAATTGAGCTATATTCATTGAATTCGGGCTGCAATTGATTTTTGAAGGTAGGGGGGGGGTTCCTGTCCCGAAGTTGTGGAATATTTTGCTTGGCAATTTTCTGGATTAATTTTTATTTCTCCACGATTTTGTCCAACGATATTAGTTCTTCCAGATTAATTTGCTGTCATCGATATTTGAGCTATGAAAATATCTTCATGACAGTGAATAATGTGTGCGTACATCAAGGAAAAGAGCTAATTTGGTGTACTGCTATTCGTGGAAATATCTGAAGTGTTAAGCATTGATAAGGTCGGAGAGAGTACAACTAGAGGCCTTGGAGTTAGAACCTGCAGATTGTTTCGAGGGTTGATAATGTTTATTGATTTTACAATGAAATTTCTGTTAGTCAGAAAGCTATTGATATTTTTGGATGTAAATCAGACTCCTCAAATTACGTAATTTATACATAATGCCTGTTGCCAGATCTGTTTCATAGCGCCTGAGCAATGTCTAAGAAACTGCTACATTATGTTTTTGTTTTGATGAGAAGCTTTCTGCAATAGTTTTACGTTTGTTCAGTAATTGGGCGTACATGAATGGTTTAGGTCTCAAAGCAGAATTCGTTCATCGGAATTGATTTTATTTAGTGAGTATTTATTTAGTCTACTGAGTATAATTCAAAATTTTTGATAATGTGGGACAAGCTATTGGTCTATAGTTCTCTCTCCAATTCTAGGATCTTTTCCCGGTTTGGAAAAGGTCAGGATGATGGCGTTTTTCATAGTTTGGGAAGTGATTACGGCGTAAGATTGCAAATTTAAATATGCGTGAGAGCGGCATAGTGTTCTTTGTTTAGTTCCGTATCATTTTGTTATTTATTTATCAATCCACTGGGATTTTTTCTTGTTTTAAACGGCTGAAAACTTTTTGAGAGCTGTAGAATGAGAGATAAACTTAATTTCGTTGTTACTGAAACGCTGGGTGCTCATTTACAAAATCCTCGATGTTTTTATGTGAGTTGCATTGTTATTTGGATGAGGTCGGGAAGATATTCTCTAGTGGTGTCAGCTAAACATTTCAGTTTTTTTCTTCATGCTGAATAGGCTTTTGAATCATTAGGTTATAGAGGGGGTATTTCGTTTTTTTCCCTCCCGTGATTATCGTTAACTGTTGACCAGAGATGAGCCTGATATTGCGTCTATTCTTGCTTTAATGATTGCTGAAATTTGGAATACCTGGAAACATTTGTCTAGCTGTAATTTTTACAACTATTCCGTGATTAATTATTAGTTTAGATCTTATATCGTGTCTACGTGTTTCTTGCCAGTATCTTCTTATATTTCGCTTGGATTTAATTAAATTTAATAATTAATATTTCTAAAATTTATGTAACAAACTCGACTCGTGCGTGAATCACCTGTTTCACGCCCCTGGCACGTAAACTACGATTTTGCAGGGTCTCAAAAGAGACAATGTGGAAAAGATTAGTTACAGAGTTAATTTAAAATAAAATATAAGTTTAAAATAAAATTTTTGACATGTTTGATCACTTGAGTGCCATTTCACATACGAATCGTCGAAGAATATAATTGTAAATTTTAGAATCCCTTTGATTTAATTTTTTAACAGAATTGCCTAACCTTGCCCTAAGAGGAAAATCAGAAAAAAATAATCCATTCACAGGGCCGTTGCTAATGGCGGATACTGGTTGATACACGACCCTTTTTTACCGGACATCATTATTCATTTTTTCAATGGATGGAAATGCATGTGAGTCATTTGTATCAGAATTAGAATTGTGGGTGTGATATTTACCTGTTCTTTAAATGGCTAATTTTTTAAAGTTTTCTACAATAATATTAATATATTAATATAAATAATTAATATAATATAAATAATAATATAACATTCTTAATAGAACCGTGTACATATTATTAAAAGAACGGGTCATATAAATTCATACGTAACACATTAATTTCGATATAATAGTAGTTTATGCAATTTGCTTGTAATGCTAAGCTTTTTTGCATGTGTACATGTTTTGAAAACGAGCGATGTTAGGAGCGAGTTTTCAAATTTGTACGAATGCAATAAAGCAGCATTATAAACAAGTTCCATAAGCTTTTTTTGTATAACAGCATTATAAATTTATAAGAGCATCAAACTTAATTTTGCAAAACAACTTTCTTGTGATGTCTCTGGTTATTGACACATGTGTGAGAAAACGGTAGTCGGCTGTTCCGATTACCTCTACGTCCCTACGATTGTCTCGCTTGGGTTGGCTGAATATGGGATGTCGCAATCATTCGTGCCGTAAATGATGAATTTGTCATAATTTGCGCAGTAAAATGCCAAATTATGAACGATTTCTTGCAATAGAAAAAATCGTTTATAATGCTGGTATACAAAAAAAAAAATAACATTAGTAGTCTGCAGCAGGAAAATAGATTATATGGAAAATGAGGTTGCTACGACACGAAACTAGAACTTGGTACGACTCTATGAACTCGTAAGGGAATGAACAATTGAATAATGTAGTGGGTTGCTGTGGAGGTAAGTTTATTTTGGGAGAGGCTTGGTATATTTCGAAACAGATGTACGCATGACGATTAAGTCGTGATATTTAGTGTTTAAATACCCAGTTAGTAGTCTCTTCAAGTGATTAAAAGATTGGCGAAACATTGGGGAAGGTATTACATGTAATTATGTAATCGGTAGTTAAAGAATACAGAACAAGATGTCAGCGAACGCGGAGCAGGCAACAGTTTGCCGATTCATAAGCGTCCCAGAATTTATAAAAAATGCATTTTCGTTTTGTTGGAACGTAAAGTGTTCTATTTGGCATTACCTCAAGAGTGAACTGAACGGACAACGACCCTGGGTAACAGAAGCAGCGGCAGCTGAAATTATATTGGAAATACCGACGATCACGGCGCGTACGGGAGCATACACTGTTGCGGGACATACCTAACAGGAGTTCTAGAGCAACAAATATTTAATGTTCTGACGCGGCGCACGTGAATAATGCAACTTCTTCCCCATCGCCTGGCGGTAGCGGTGTCGTAACTAGTGACGCACAGAGTGTGACAATTCAGTCGATACGCGCAGTATGAGAATGGGTGGAATGGCACCATCAAATCTTTGAATTTTTGAGTAAAAATGGAAACTTGAACACAAAAATGTACATTAGTAATATAGTTATGTTTTTTAACTTATGTTTTCTTTACATGTCTCTCAATTCTGTATATTCTTTGATTGCTTACTATTCAGAGGTTCTTGACCTCTTCCTTGGTGTAGAACATGACGACGCAAGTGTCATATGTCAGCGATGTGATTCATTGTTCTCTGTTTCCCGTTTACCGCAGCCGCTCATTGTAGTAGTAAATGTTGATGGACAGGAAACAACGTAAACATGCACGGTTTGTAAGCACGCACAATATAATTTCATTTAGGATATTCGCACTCGAGCCGTGTTATTGAACTGCGGTGACGGCCCTGTGCTTGTTTACTCTTTGCACAACATGGAAGTACACTCACAGGGAGGAGATACATGGGAAACGAGAATGAATTTGAAAGGGAGAACTATTTCAATGCGTATAGTGGAGCCGGCTTCTATATTACTTGAGCTTTACAAGTGATAAATAGGTTGCTGTATTAGAAACAACTCCCCTCACAGATCTGAGAAATTAACAATTGTTTAGATGATCTTCAAGTCGAATATCTGCTCGTGTTTAAACACAAGTCAACAATAACTCAGTAGAAAAAGAAGTAAAAAACACAAATAAACTAATGTCGAATATTCGAACCGGTAGAGATGGCTCAATTAATGTCACTGCAGTGCCTCTCACCGGGAAGTCCTAGGTTCTAGTCCCGACAGTGAAAAGATTTTCTACATTAGCGTTTCAGCTAGGTCGATTTTAGTCGCTGTCTCGAGGAGAATTCTAGCGGCCGGCTGCTCTGATCGGTATTTTTGCGTGGTTTCTCCAATCAACACCAGGCGAATGCCGAAGCCGTACCCTAGCAAACGGGCCACGGACCACGCGCTATCTTTCCTTCCTCTTCCTAGCCCCTTCTCCCCTTACACACACTTACATTACATGCTCTATACTACCACACATGTCGTGAGATTAAAGATTGTCCTGGGTGTTCGATACGTGGTTGAAGGAAACCCCACTAGCCGACGGTGGATCTACGCCGGATCTCGACTTTCAGCGGGGGAAGTTTTTCAAAATCAATGACATGTTCTGGGATTAATGGGACTAATGGCCTCTGTAGTTGACGCGCCCGGAATCACTAAGAACCAACTAACCAATCAAATATACGTACACATTGAAGAGAAATTGAGCAGACTGCGTCTGTGACAGAGGTCAGTGGTTTAGATACCCAGGATCTCGGGATAAATGCAACAACGGTGAAACAGTTTCCATTTCGACTCAAAAATACAATGATTTGATTATGCCATTCCGCCTATTCTCATACTGCGCGTATCGACTGAACTGGCGCCGCGATCGTGGGTATTTCCAATATAATTTGAGCTGCCGCTGCTTTTTACTTACCCAGTGTCGCTGTCCGTTCAGATCACTCTTGAGGCAATACAAACAACAACAACAACAACAACAACATTGAAAGCTCCAACAAAACTTATTTGTTTATAAGTTCTGGGAGGCTTATAAATCGGCATAGTGTTGCCTGCTCCTCGTTCGCGGATATCTTGCTCTGAATTCTAGAGCACCGATCAATTAGATCTAATGCCTTCCCCACGCTTTTGGCAATCTTCTAATCACTGGAAAGCTACTAATTAAACTAATTAAATATTTAAACACGTATTTCACTTTAAATATCACGACATAATCGTCATGCGGCCATGTCTTTCGAATTCTAGCTAGCCTTTCCCAAAATAAACTTGCCTCCTCAGCAGCCCATTACATTATTGGTGAGTGGGTGATTGAGGCTGGTGAGAATGTGCTTGGGTGAGTATGTCCAAGGGCGGGTGAGTGGGTGATTGAGCGTTGTGAGGCTGGTGAGAGGGTGATTGAGCTGGTGTATGTGTGTTTGGGTATGTCCAAGGGTGGGTGAGTGGGTGATTGAGCGTTGGTGCGGCTGTGCGAGTGGGTGATTGAGTGTTGGTGCGGCTGCTTGAGTGGGTGATTGAGCGTTGGTGAGGCTGTGTGAGTGGGTGATTGAGCTGGTGCATGTGTGCTTGGGTATATCCAAGGGTGGGTGAGTGTGTGATTGAGCGCTGGTGAGGCTGTGTGAGTGGGTGATTGAGCGTTGGGGTGGCTGAGTGAGTGGGTGATTGAGCTGGTGCATGTGTGCTTGGGTATATCCAAGGGCGGGTGAGTGGGTGATTGAGCGTTGGTCAGGCTGTGTGAGTGGGTGATTGAGCGGCGGTGCGGCTGTGCTTGTGGGCAGGGATGGCGCGGTGGGGGCGAGGCGGGTGAGTGTGGGTGAGCGTGGGTGAGCGGGGCGGTGAGCGACTCACCCTCCTGCGCGCACGCCCTGACGGCTGCCCTGGCGCTGCGCCGCTTGGCGCCCTCGGCGTACACGGCGCTCACCAGCCGCTCCGCGCGCTCCCTGGCGAACGCCCCGCCCTCGATCTGCACACGCACACACACACACACACACTCACTAAGCACGGCGTCTGCGAGTTAAGCTGGCTTTACACTTGCAAGAAAATGGCGGGCAATATTATTTTGCAAGAAAAATTGCCAATGTAAACTTGTGGCAATAATCATTTCTGATGTTGGCAATATTTCGTTGATTTATGATGTTGGCAATAGATTGTAATGTAAACTCATGTGTTTCGGAAAGATATTGCCGGCTGTTGCTGGGACTAGAATTGGATTGAAGTCTCAGCAATATATTGCTGGAACAAGCCAGAGATGACCACGGTCACTTGCGCAGGAAGTACTTACTGTAGTACATAGTCGTTATATTTCCATTTAATATGAATTTTTTCGTAAAATGGGTGTGTGAAAAAAGTTTCCGACACTAAAAAAAGTAGTAATAAATATTCCCTCTATGGTTGATTATCAAAGGTTCAAATTTTAGTTCAGCTATAGATGCCCCCAATTATTAATTATTACGTTAAAACTTATTTAGATATTAATCTAATGTAAATCAATTTTAAGGTAACTCTATCAGTTGTAGGAAAGAAATATTTTAAAACTTTTAACCGAATTAGTAATTCACTTTTTATTAAAAGAAATTTAAAGCTTTTTCTACATTCTTCATATACAATAACTTTTAGACATTCTTCACTAAGTCAATCCACAACTTTTATCATAGCCTCTTCTTATTCAAACAATTATGTCCATTATATTAAACCAAAGAACAAAATACATTATACTAAAAAATGTGGTTGTAAATATTCTACACTTTTAAAAGTTCATATGTACAACAATTTCTGTTTTAAAAACTCCTATGATAAAACATTTAAAATATATAACTTCTTGGCTGCTCGGGTGACGCCACGTCGTTGACTGAGAGGCCGACGTTTCGCCTGTCATATCGCAGGCTTCTTCAGGGTAGTGACTACAGAAATATGACAGGCGAAACGTCGCCCTCTCAGCCAACGACGCGGCGTCACCCGGACAGCCAAGACGTCACGAACTCGAGCCGCGGAATCTTACGTGTACATTGAAAATAGAGGCAAGAAACTACAGTATAATAATCAATCCTCTAGTGTATAGTTTGGAAGTAAATGTTCCTCGATTTTAACATTGCAGGTCTAGGGCCTTGCGGGTCCCGTTAACGAAATGAGTGCAAATGCATAATCCTGGCCGTACATTAGCAATACGCTTCCGCAATATCTTTCAGCAACTTGGCATGACAAAGCAAAATTATGCCTTGGATGCGATAAACGGCCAATTTACCAATACAGTGCTGTAGTGCTGTAAACTTCGCTAATATATATATATATATATAT